TACTTGAGCCCAGGAGTTCAAGTCCAACCTAGGCAACATAACAAGACCTCACCTCTACAAAAAAAAAAAGAAAAGAAAAAAAATTAGCCAGCTGTGAGGGCATGTACCCGTAGTCCCAGCTACTCGGGAGGCTGAGGCCAAAGGATCACCTGAGCTCAGGAGTTCGAGTCTGCCATGCACTGTGATCATGCTACTGCACTGCAGCTTGGGCAACAGAGTGAGACCTCGATTCAAAAAAACAAAGGAATGGTAGTTTTATAAATCTGAACAGTAGAAAAGAAGTTCTTATAGATTATTAGACTCTGAAGAGAATATCCAAAGCCTTTAATATTTGGTTCCATTTGTTCTTCAGACGGATATGACTCATCCAGATTGCTTTCTTTATGTTTCCATTTCTTTTCTTTTTTCTTTTTTTGAGTTGGAGTCTCACTCTGTCGCCCAGACTGGAGTGCAGTGGCCGCTCCCGGCCACCGCAGCCTCGACCTGCTGGGCTCCAGCAATCCTTCCGCTTCAGCCTTCCGAGTAACCGGAATTACAGGCATGCGCTACCACGCCCGGCTGATTTTTTGATTTATTGTAGAGATGCGGTCTCGCCAAGTTGCCCAGGTGGGCCTCAAACCCGTGGGCTCAGGCAACCCACTCACCTCAGCCTCCCAAAGCGCGGGATTACAGACTGAGCCACCGAACCTGGCTATGTTTCCATTTCTAAGCCATGTTAGGTAAAAGCATGTGCTCATTAAGCAGGCCTATAGAGAAATTTAGAATTCAGGCTTTGAGTCATTGACTGATCTTCAGCCATGTTTTAGTTTCTTCACCCTTTCCATAATCAAATCAGACTTCTTTGAGGCTTTTAAGATTTAGCATTTGAGACCCAGTGGGATGCTCAGATCCCAGTACTGTGTTTTTGTTTGAAAAGAGTGTGAAAATATATATATTCCAATACATTTCCTGGTACAAAAAAATTAAAACAATAAAAAAGAGATGTGAGTTTAGGCCCTTAAACCTTGTGTTAATTGGATAGCCTGTGATTATTATTTTTCTTTCCTTGTGGCACCTGCCACAGCTTGGATCTCCTAGAAAATTCCTCCCCTTTTTTATTTTTCTTTTCTAGTTCAAATTTCTGTTTCAAAAAGTTTCATTGGCTCTGAAGAATCAACTTTTCCTAGGCAATGTGGTTAATACTAGTGAAGATATTCTGTCAGTTGTGTGCCCTGTCTCATTTCTCACCTTCTGCTCCTCTGTGAAGCCCTCTACCATTTTAATTGTAGCCTGGGATTATAGAATAAAATTCTTTACATGTGGAAATTCTGTCTTTTCAGTGCCAAGTTTCTTGTGAGCCTATGAATTTTGAAATTGAGTGGTTTTGGTTGTTTTTTGGTGTGTTCTGTCATTTTCACACCTCTTGGTTTGGCCATTGGTGGTAATATATATATGTATATTTGCTGTTGAATTTCTTCTTCTTTTTAACGTAACATCAGTGCTAGTTTTTTCCTCCTCCTTCTAAATAAAAGAAAAAAGTAAAAAATCTCTGAGAGTTCATTGGGAATTTGTGGCTAATTACTTATTGCTTTGCTCAAAACATAGTACTCAAGCTTTGGCCAGGTGTGGGATGTGGACTTTTTTTGCACTCTTGTCTCCAGACAGGACTATTAAGAGCCTTGGATGCAGCAATGAAAACTGTGCACATAGCACTTTTTTTTTTTTTTTTTAAGGTTTTTAGTCCAAGCTCAGCCTAATGAATCTTGGCTTTGGTTACCAACAAAGGAGTTCTACTTTCCTGTCTGCTCAGACTATTCCAAATGTACCAGCACAAGGGGCTTGCCCTGTCCTGTGCCGGATCAGATTTGTCTTGTTTAGAAAGCTGATCTTTTCCTTTCTATGAGTTTGCAGCAGAGACTACTTAGGCCACCAAGATAAATTTGGGGTATAGACTCTTGGACAAGGGATAAATTTCTTAGAGCAAAGCTGTTGAAGGGAAAGAAATCTGATGTTACCCACAAAAAACAGGTTTTTGAGTTTTTTTTTTAAACGACAGTGTCTTACTCTGTTGCCCAGGCTGGAGTACAGTAGTGTGATCCTGGCTCACTGTAGCTTAGACCTCTTGGGCTCAACAGATCTTTTTACTACAACCTCCTAAGTACCTGGGACTACAATGTGGCGTGTGCCACCATGCCCAGCTAGGTTTTTGTGGTTTTTTTGGCAGGGTTGTAGAGATGAGGTCTCACTCTGTTGCCCATGCTGGTCTCAAACTCTTGGGCTCAAGTGATTCTCCCATTTCAGCAGTGCTGGGATTACAGGTGAGAGCCACTACGCACAACCAAAAACCAGGCCTTTTAAAATGGCAGCCAGAAAAGGGGCATGTTATTCAGCTAAAATAAAAGTACTGTATTTTTAAGCTGAAATCTCCTTTGTCTTGGATTTTGAAGTAGCTACAGCTTTGAATGTAAACATTATTTTAGTTCTTAAGGTATACTGAGTATGCTGCTTAAGAAATTTTTGCTGGTGTTCTCCTGTTTTCAACTCCCCCAAGCAATATATTGCACAAAATTGGCAATGAGACAGCCAGTGGTTTCATTAATAGGAATGAAATAATGAGCTAATTGATGTTGAACTGTAATATTGTAGACATGCTGCCATTTGAATGTAGAATATAGCTTATGAAGGAGCAAAATCTTATACCACCAGCTAGTAGTAAGTCATTTCCTTTCTGTATCTGTAGATGGCTCTTCAGACTTTCCTAATTTAAGATATTAAATAAATAGCAGCTCATGTTAATTCAGTTACATAATGCTTTTGAAGATACATGTGAGATGGGGGTGGTGTTTTGGGATCATAAATGCTGAATAAGTATGCCATGGAAATTCTCTAAGTATCGTAGAGCAACATTTCTTAAACTTTGATGACTGGTGTATTACTTGAGGATCTTGCTAAAATTGGAATTCTGGTTTAGTAGGCCAGGGATGGGAGGGAAAGTCTGCATTTCTAATAAGCTTATGGGAAATTCTGAAGCCTTTGGTCTGTGGAGCACAGTTTGAGTAGTAAGGCCTTTTAACATTTTTAACATTTATCAGTATTTTTTAGCCTCTAAGTGAGCAGGAGTCATCAAAGTGGATTGTAGGCTCTGAAAAGACAAATTATGGAAACTCTTCGGGAAGTGATTGCTAATTGTGTGGTATTAATGGGATTAGATGGGTAAGGGTGAAAGAGGCTCCAGTGGCAATAGCACTTTAACTTTTCAAACAGGGGCAGAAAGAACATTGATTCCCAAATTGTGGTCCCCAGACCAGCAGCATCTCCATTATCCAGAACATGTTAGAAAAGCAAATTCTCAGGTCCCACCCCAGGCCTCTGAATCTGAAACTTTGGAAATAGAACCTGACAATCTGTGTTTTAAAGGGTACTGCCAGTGGTTCTGCTGCATATTAAAGCTTAATATTATATATAAGTAGCAGACTAGGTATTAGAACACAGATACATTTGATTCCAAAGTTTATGCTTATGCTTCTAGAAGAATTTGAGATATATATACCTTACACACACACACACACACACACGTTCTACAAAGCTTCTAGACAATTATTATCAATAATTAAGAGCTTGAGAATATAATTGTTCTTTAATAAGAAAAAAATACCTTAATCATTTGAGCATGTATTATGCATATTAAGTTATTCTTCTCAGCTTAAAAAAGAGAGAGAAATATTTTCCTTCACTGATTCTCTATCACTTGCTGCAACCAGGAAGGCTGAGAAAGGGTTTAAATGGTATCGGTTACACAGCAGCTGCAGCTCTCTAAAGTCACAGGAAGGTGGCATCGTACCGTTTCTTGTGGTTGGTATATGTACTGCAGTAGTATGCAAGAGACCCTACTCAGTTTTTTGACATTATGGCAGGAAGCCACTGTCTGTGCCGATGCCCTTTAGGGCTTGTTTGTAATGACTGCTCTGATACTGTCCTTTTCCAAGTTTCTCTTGGGGAGGGTTTGATGAGTTTTAATAGCAGAGGAAAAGCCAAATTATGTCTTTGGCTAACAGGGAGTAAGAGAACTGGTAACTTTGTTTCTCATTTTATCATTATCCTTCTTAGAAGTTGTAAGCATGTCATCTGATAGAGTTTGCTTGGGGCAGTTACCTTTACAATGTGGACTACTACTACTACATCTTGGGTTAATTAGCCATTCTTCAGAGTTAAGAACTGAACAGTTAGGCTAGGTGGCTCAGCCTGTAATCCCGTGCCTTTGGAAGGCTGAGGTGAGTGGATTATCTGAGCCCGTGGGTTCGAGAACCACCTGGGCAGCGAGACCTCACCTCTACAATAAATCAAAAAATCATCTGGGTATGGTAGTGCATGCCTATAATTCCGGCTACTTGGAAGGCTGAGGCAGAAGGATCGCCGGAGCCCAGCAGGCAAGGGAGCGACCACTGCACTTCAGTCTAGGTAACCGAGTGAGACTCCAACTCAAAAAAAGAAACTGAACAGTTGAGTAACCAGTCTGTTCTTAGGATGTGCAGAAAGTGAATGACATCAGGGTAGAGCTAGCCAGGAGGGTCCATGATGGTGAACATGACTAGACAGAATGGGAGTGGGCAGGTAGACTAGAGGTTTTAAACCAGCAGGGAGATGAGATTCAAGAAGCCAGTCTTCTGGAGTTACAAGTAGGTGTTTCAAATATAGACAATTCAGATGCTGAGCTCAGGAAATTAGCTAGCATAGACCAGGACCCAAATAAAGGATTCGTAATTAAATGATAAAGGTTCATTTAAAGGCATGGGACATAGTAGTGAAGGAGGAAGAATGAGTGTTAATTCTGAGTCCCAAACAGAGACTGTGCTTTCTACCTGAGGTTAAGCAGGAACCTTTCCTGGTAGGTTAAGTACCAGGTAAGCACACCTGCCTTGATCAGAGGGTCTGAGGTGATTGGGATGAACAAGACATCTCATTCTCTTGATAAAGTAAATGACTCAACCCACCCATGTTCCATTTTTTTCTTACTCTACCAGTTACTGAAAAAGTCTACGAGAGTGAGTCCTGCACAGATAGTGAAGAGGAGCCCAAAATGAAGACGTCTTCTGTACACAGACCTGCCATGACTGTGAAAAAAGAACCCAAAGAGGAACGAAAGGGCCCTAGAAAAGGGGCTGCTGCTCTGGGCAAAGCCAACAGACAAGTGTCCATTACTGGCTTCTTCCAGAGGAAGTAAACTGCCACCTCTGGAAGGTCAGAGACTTGGCGTGGTCAAGGGAGAAGACCAAGATGTACAGATCACTTACTGTGTAAGTTCATCTAGAGCCTCACCTGACCTGTGTCAGACTTCTCTTTTATCCTGTGAGGCTTATACTATTTCTGGTTTTTAACCACAAGGAAATCACTTGGAAGTAGGAGACAAAAAGAATATTTAAAAAGCCGTTACCTTCTAGTGGCATTTTTTAAGCACAATCTTTGACCTGTCCAGGAGAAGAATTTACACCAAAATTAAACTGGAACAGGTTTCAGAATGATCACTGAAGCCATTTGGTGGCTAATTCACTGTGCCCCACTCGCCCTATGCCCTGGTCCGTATGTGACTCAGGATATTCCTTCTTGTTTCTCTGTGTTCTGTGAACTTGTGTGGGTGTTTTTTGTCCCTGAATTCTACTGGCTGTGTTTACTACTACTTTTGTCCTCCTCTCTCCACACTTCTATTCCCTAACTCCATGAAGCTGTTTTCTGTAAGTCTTTTAAATCTTGGTTGGTCTAAAGGCCAAAACAAAAATCTCCCTGTAGCCCTCTTCCTCCATTATACAATACACTGACACCTGGCCACAGACCAGGACATTGCTTGTGTTCCACCCCTTTCACAAAAGCTCTCTAGACCTTCACTCACAATTAGCAGTTTGGGAAAAGCCTCAGGCAGAACATGAATAGAAATTTAATGATGTATTCAACTCCACCAGAAATTACTTAGAGTCAGCATTGACGCTATTAGAGGAGTTGTCATGTTGCTGACACAGATACCCTGTGTCAGCTTTATACTGCTCTTTGGGGTTGTGGGTCTCCCCCCTTCCCACTCTCAGTACCTAGAGAATAAAACCCATACAGTGAGATAAGGGCTAAAAAAGAGAGCTCTCTTCATATGGTATACAACAATTACATCAGATTTCTCCTTCTCAAGAAATAGAATGTTCAGAAGCAGCAACTGCCCAGGAAATTAGTAAGGGAGATAAGGCTCATACACAGATACTCCTTTACCTTTTTAGCTCCTCCATTTGCCTAAAGTACAAGCTCCCTAAGAAGAGATGGAGAGACTGAATTGTTAGTAGGTCTAAACAGCAAATAAAATGTTTTCATTTGTTACTTATGGAAAACCATGTACTCCAGTGATCACTTTCAAGTGACTTCCATTACGGCTGGACAGGCAGTGGGCTCCGGTGAATGGTGGCGGTGTGGCAGTGATCTTCTCAGTGAGCTCTGAGGAAGAGAGCAGGCTCGACTGCTGATGTGACTCATGTGAACAGACAAAGGATGTCTGATCTCCTTCTGCCTCAGCCTGGTGTATGTCATAAGTGATGCAATCAGCCATCTCTTGTTTAAGGTTAGGATTGTGACTGACCTTGGGATTAACACATGCTTCTTTAGCAACCAAGCATGAGCTTGATTAAGACCAGAGGCTTGAGAGATGAGTCCTGGCATTATGTCCAGGACTTAAGAAGGAAGCAGCTTTGTATAACAAGCTGAATAAAGGTTGACATATTCCAAAACCCTTTCTTTTTAAAATGAAGAAGAATAGAGTGGCTTATACCTGTAATTCTAGCACTTTGGGAGGCCAAGACAGGAGAATCACTTGAGCCCAGGAGTTCAAGACTGTCCTGGGCAACACAGTGAGATCCTGTCTCTACAAAAAATTAGCCAATTGTGATGGCACTCACCTGTAGTCCCAGCTACTCAGGAGGCTGAGGTGGAAGGATTGCCTGAGCTCGAGAGATTGAGGCTGTGGTGAGCCATAATTGCCACCACATCCAGTCTGGGTGACAGAATGAGACTCCGACTCAAGAAAAAAAAAGAGGATAGAAGGTCTGGAAAACCTGGACTTAAACTTTTACAAAAAACTTCTGGAGAGGACTCCCTTTTAAACAGTTATTTTTGTCATTGCCTCTAGTCATTTTCTAAATAGGAATGGAAAATTAAAAAAAAATCAGTCCAGCCTTTATTCGTATTATTACTATGCTGGGATCTCTAATAAGATGGAATTTGAATCGAAAAAAATCTAGTGCTGGTTAGAGTTCCATCTTTTAAGGGATAATGCAAATCCTATGAGCTCTATACCCAATATGCTGCCTAAACTCTGAGCTGTCTGCAAGACTTAGTATTGAATGGTAGCTTTTTAAAAATTTTTATACAGTACTCTACCATGTTATCCACATGAGTTAAATAAATTTGAGAAGTTGTTTTAAAACAGTGCTTCAAACTGAATGTCTGATGAGTCTGTTATTTGACAGGACAGCAGCAGTGTGTGCCATTATTTAAACTCTGAACAGGAAGAAGGCTGGTCTTCAGTTTATATAAAAACTACATATCCATGGTCTGAGATGGATAAGTTATTCTCTGCCTTCATCATTTTTTTTGTCCTCTGGGAAATCTTAGTTTCAGCCAACTTCATTTTGTAGTTCAGTTAGAAGAAAATCTAGTCCTGATCTCACACAGTGTATTTGTTTGACTTTTTGCTTTCTAGCTGTATGACCTTGAACAAATTTCTGAGGCTCAAGCTCTTTATCAAAATAGAGAAAAATGCGTTACCATGGGTTGTCAAGACTAAAGTAATGTATATGTAGCATAAATTCAGTACACAGTTGCAGGCATAAAGATGCTCTACAAATAGTGACTTCCTTTCTGATGTCATAAGTGATGCAATCAGCTACCAACTTCCTGAAATGTTATCTAGGATATGACCCAGATGGCATACTCTTTCATAGTCATTCTGGTTATACACGTGGTCAAAAGAGGTTTTAAAGACTGAATATTTTCCTATAGAAAGAAAAATTTGTAGATGACTATATTTATTATTCATTTATTATGTATCTACTATGAGTCAGCAGGCTCCTGTCTTTAGGACCTAGTGGAAGAGTCAAGCCAGTAAAATGAAGTGCCAAAGCCATATATGAGTACGGTTACAGATAAACACAGGGTCCCTGGAGAGTTCACAGGAGGGTGGGTGTCAAGGAAGTCTTCCTGGAGGAGAGGAAACCAAGCAGTTCCTTGAAGGATGAGTAGGATTTTACAAAACAAAAAAGAATGGAAAGGATTTTCCAACCAAAGGAACATGACTTTTGAGGGAAGAAATGGACTGTAGAATTAGAGGAAAGGGAGGAAAATGTATTGAGAAATGAAGTTGGGGTTCTGCTAAGGATTATTTGTATATAATTGGGGCCAACTGAAGAATTTTAAGAGGAGTAATATTCTTAGTTGTGCATAACAGCCTGGCATTTACTTTGATTTCGTATGCCACGATAGTATTTCTGCCTATGCATAGATATTGTGTCTTAGTTCCAGTAGTAGTAAAGTTAAAATTCTAATAGTATTAAAGAAAATCATTATGGTTCAGACAAAGCTGTTTGATTCTGGCAGCCAGCATAGACAGTTGTAGTGTTTCTCTTGTCTTCCCATATCAAAATAGATTTCTTTAGCAGAATCAGTTTTTAAAAGTGATTTCAAAAGCTGGCAGTTCTCTGACACTCTCAGTGATATAAGCCTCCACCAAGCTCCCTGAAAAAAAGCTGCGGGAGTTAGGGGAACAAGTGGAACAGTTCTATTCCTTTTCTATCTTTGTTTCTTTAAGAAGTCACTAGTTAGTATACAGGAGAGAGCTGAAGAGAAAGGCCATATAAGGAAACTAAATAGTTTCTCCAGGACATGAGTAGAATGAGTGCTTAATAATGTATTTGCCAGAAATGTACTCTGTGTCAAGACTCGTTTGGTAAACTTGTCTTCTTTCATTGGTTCCGGGATTTCATTATGCCGTAAGGCAGCTTTTACCACCATGAAACATTCTGGGGCCGCCTCATCTTGTGAGAAGGCAGTATTGCTTTCTGAGTTATTGCTCTGGCAGCTCTGTAAATTAGTCCATGCTGTCACCATGCCCTCTCTGAAGGGCACATTGTACCCAAATGACTGCATTTAGGATTGACTCTTGCCACTCCCTGCTGCATGACACTTCTCTCCACTTGTATCTGTGTCCAGTTTTTTGTGTTCTTAAGTGCAGGCCACCCACAGATTGCCACCCAGGCTTTTTAGCCAGAGAAACTTGGTAAGGCTTCTGATCCAATATTTTTCCATTGGATCAGAACTCACCTTAACTCTAGAAGTCTCCTTCCATTTCAAACCCTAAGTGTTTTCCGACTCCCTCCCCTGCTTTATTTTTCTCATTTGCTGTTGCCAGACTACTTGTTTCTTGAAGCTTCACTTTGGCTCCCCCTCCCTGAGTTCTTCGTGGCTGGTCCTTTAGCTTCTTCCTTTGGTCTTTTAGCCTTTCTTTCTCAAGGCTCTTCTCCATGGGGCATGTCTTTTGCTGGACTACTCTTAAAGAATGCAAAAACCACTTTGTTGATTGTCTGTTTTGGATCATTCAAATCCAAAGCATCAAGCAGTTGTTGAATGCTAGTTATATTTAGTCCTGGACAAGAAACTTTAGGGACTGCAAAAGCCCAGAAGCTACCATTTTGGAGCACCAGGATATACACACTAAAAAGCATATAGCAGTTGAGACAATGCTTAGGTGAATGGCAGACAAAGGACTTAATTCAGAAAATAATCAGGATAATCATAATGGGCAAAATGTTACAGTCCTGTGCAAAGAACAGTAAAGGATTCAAGACAAGAAACAGGCTGAGGAGGGTCACCATTTTAGTGAGTCTTCAGCTGTTTGAACGTCATTCACCGTTTATACATTTATGATATAAGTAAACTGTGATTAAGTGAATCTTTAATTAGTGGAGTTATTTCTGTTCTATTTTAAGAATGAGAGTATTGGCCGGGCTTGGTGGTTCAGCCTGTAATCCCAGCACTTTGGGAGGCCAAGGCAAGTGAATTGCCTGAGCCCACGGGTTCGAGACCAGCCTGGGCAACTTGGTGATACCTCATCTCTACAATAAATCAAAAATTAGCCGGGCGTGGTAGCACATGTCTGTAGTTCTGGCTACTTGGAAGGCTGAGGCAGAAGGATCACTAGAGCCCAGCAGGTCGACGCTGGGGTGGCCGTGAGTGTGCCACTGCACTCCAGCCTGGGTGATAGAATGAGACTCCAACTCAAAAAAAAAAAAGAGTATTGGCAAAAAAGCAAGCAGTTACCAAGGATTATTTCCAAAGGCAGTTTATAGGATATATATTGAGTTAGCATAGGTTCAACTCAGTTGTATGCACAAGCAACAATTTTGGCATACTGGGGAAGCAGGGTGCTGTGATGGAAACAACGCGGGCTTGTTGTTTCCCTGGGAGGTAGGACCCTGGATTCAAACGCCATCTGAGGCACTGACCTTAAGCAAAGTACTCATACTCTGTAAACTTCAGTTTTCTCATCTTTAAAATGAGCCACGAGGCAGGGCACAGTGGCTCACGCTTATAGTCCTAGCACTTTGGGAGGCAGAGGAGAGAGGATGGCCTGAGTCCAGGGTTTTGAGACCAACCTTGGCAACTTGGCAAGACCTTGATCTCTACAATACATTTAAAAACTGGCCGGGTGTGGTGGCACACACCTGCGGTTCCAGCTACTTGGAAGGCTAAGGCAGAAGGATCGCCTGAGCCCAGCAGGTTGAGGCTTCGGTGGCCGTGAACATGCCACTGCACTCTAGCCTGCGCAACAGAGTGAGACTCTGACTCAAAAAAGTAAATAAAATGAGCCACCACCTACCTTAAAGGGTTCTTTTAAAACTTGAATGAAATAATGCATGGGCAGTCCCTAGTATTTTGACACACATTAAACTGATACAAAGCACAATAGCAGCATTTTTAAAGCATTTACTATGTGCCAGACACTGTTCCAAACACATTAGATGTATCAACTCTTAATCCTCATAACAGTTCTATGAGGTAGGTACTTTTATTCCTATTATGCACATGAGGAAACTGAGACAGAGAGTT